TTAATGCAACTGCTTTCTGTAGGCGCAGATTATCCTCAGTTTTAGTAAGAAGTAAGTAATTTAATTAATTATTGAACTGCACAGAAAACTGTGCATCTATGTCTTACAATAATTTTTATAGCCATAGCGTATTTATAAATGCTGTTTTTTTTATTTAGATAAGATGGCAGAAACCATTAAATTAGCAGTGAAATTAACTGAGCAAGGACACATTAGGGTTGGCTCTGAATTGTTAAAAGATCCTGCACTATTGGTGAATCGTACACTGGAAGATTTTGTGACATGGGTGGACAGCTCCAAGATCAGGCAACATGTCCAACAATACAATGGACTTGTAAGTTTCAAAATTAATGAAATTATAAATGAAATATTTAAATTGATTATTTTATTGTCTTTTCCAGCGCGACGACTTCGAATTGTAATATTTATAGCTTTTTGTATATATAAGTTGTTTTATTACTATTTTTAATAATAAAGATCACATTTTATAAATTTTGACTATTTTTGTATTTGTAAAAGAAACATCATAATAATATTTATTGAAACAGTAAAATTTAAATTGAAACAACACAATAATATAAATATCATAAATTAAAAAATCAACTGCTTCAGAGGGCTATTGACAATAAGGCCTTCTTGCCCAAAGAAACATATTAAACCTATAGTATTTACTATAATAACAGAAATAAGAGAAACAAAGAATTACATTATTGCTATAGATTTTTTGGTCATTTAGTCCAAGTTGATTGATTCTTGTACATTGTATATAGGTATAGTTACTATTAGTTATTACAGTTAGAAATCAATGGTTCAGAATTTATTAATAATAATTTATTGGCCAGACAGGAAATACAAAAAAAAAAAAACTATAACTAAATAAATGATAATAATAACAATTAAATAATAAAAATAAGTATACATATGAAAAATAGAAGAATGAGGAAAAAAAAGCAGCGGAATAGGAACAAATGGGTATAAATCGAGGGACATTAGATATTGGAATATGGGATATTTAAAATTGGGAAGGATATTTGGGTTTCGAGGGGCACAGAATTTAGAGAGGAAGGCGATGTAGAATTTATTGTTTTTCTGAACTTCTCGGTTATTCTATATTTTATTATAGGCAACCAAATATACTTTACAATTATTATAATTAAATTAACTCATGAATCAAACGAATACAAAATGTGTTTTTAATGATCATAACTTAAAGTTCATAAATAATCAAATTAATTAAAATTTAAAACAACATTATAATAATGTCAGAGATGATGTGAATGGATGAGAATGAAGTTATTAATTTGATTGTAATGTCAGAAGATGCGTAACCAACTTCGTGTATGTTCATTTGGCTGGAAGTGATTTTGCTTAGACACACTTCTGCAACAATAAATCTGGAATATATACAAAATGCAGACACCACCGATATTCATCGACATCAGTCCCGAAGACCAGGTAAATATCAAATAGATTTCTAGTAGAAAACCTTAGGATATTCGTGTAAATACGTGGTCGGCGTCTGGTTTCCATACGCCTATAGAAATGAGGTTATAATACTAATATTTGTTGTTTTTTTTCGTAGGCACTAGAGCTTCGTGCTTATTTCAAGTCCTTGGGGGCTGAAATAACCGAAGAGAAGTCTCCAAGAGGTATTGAGGATGATTTGCACAAGATCATTGGAGTTTGTGATGCTTGCTTCCGGGAGGGTCAAGAGGTAGAAGTTGAGGCTGTCTTGAATGACATTGTTTCAATCATGGTTTTTGTAAGTACATGCTGTTTGATAAATATAGAAGTTTTACATAATTTAATTTGTAGATTCCATTTGAGAGGTCAGAGAATATCATCTTGGCATTCTGTGAGAAACTCACCAAAGCTCCAGGTCAAAAATTGGGATTAATCTGTTTGAAGGCGTTAGTATGGAGTATTCTGTAAATGTCAACTTATTAAATTATTTATATTTTAGATTGTTACTTTTGTTCCAATCTCTGGATGAGCAATGCGCAATAAGGTATCACGTTTACTATCATCTCATACTGATAGGCAAGCAAACTGAGCAAGTTCGTTTGGTATTCAAAGATATTGAAACGCTGAAACAGCAGTTCGCTCAATGCCCGCCGACCAGCGAGCAGTTGCAGAAACTGTACAGGTTGTTGCACGAAGTGTTGATCGCAAGTGGACAGTCTGAGCAGGCTGCTAAAGTTTTGGTGGAACTTCTGGGCACCTACACCGTTGAGAACGCTTCCCAGGCGAGGGAGGATGCTAGACTGTGCATCGCTACCGCTCTCGCCGATCCGAAAACGTTCCTTCTGGACCCGCTTTTATCTTTGAAACCCGTCAGTTTCTTGGAAGGACAACTCATCCACGATCTGCTCACGATCTTCGTCAGCGAAAACCTTGCAGCCTACATGAACTTCTATAAGAACCATAAAGAATTTGTCATGTCGCAAGGCTTGAACCACGAGAAAAACATGCAGAAGATGCGATTGCTCTCGTTCATGCAGCTTGCTGAAACGAACAACGAGATTTCCTTCGATGTCATTCAGAAGGAATTACAGATTTCAGAAGATGAAGTGGAAAGTTTCATTATTGAAGGTAACATATTTACATTTTAAATTTTATATGTATTGATATTAATGATTGGATCTTATTTTTTAGTATTAAAGACGAAATTGGTGAGGGCTCGCATGAACCAGTCAACGCGTAAAGTGTTCATTACCAGCACCATGCATCGTACTTTCGGTAGGGCCCAATGGCAACAGCTCAGGGATCTGCTGCACTCGTGGAAAGCGAATCTGGGATCCGTGCAGGATGGTATGAAGAACATGGCAACCGCTGCCGCAGCCGTTGACAAGAACGAAGTTATAACATATTTTATGATGAAACAATAAAATATTCAATTTTTGATTGATTTAAGACTAACAATTCATTCATTCAATGTTATTCCTGCAAATTGCAACTTTTATAGCGGACGTGGGTCAACCACAAAATAAATGATATTTTTCCACTGAAAAAGCTAAGTAACATTTATTTGTACCTAAATAACATTAAGTTAGTATAATGATGACTGTAAATTTTATCTAAATATATAAAATTTTATCCATCACCAAGTATATTTTGTAATGAATACCCTTACGTTAAATTATTCTGAAGAATGAGATGAAATAGCTTTTAATCAAAGATTTAAAGATTATAGATAAAAGACTGCACATTTGATGTTGAAATATATATGAGTGACAATGTTATCTCAAATGAACAAAGTGTCAATTGTATTTGGCGACATGATCGTCAGTGTCATGAGATTACACAAGCTCTATCAATTGTACATCTTTTATAAATGTTAATATTCTATGCACTGACGATAACTTTCATGCAGTTAGGATTAGTTTGGGGTGAGGTTTGCAAGGACCCAGATGGAAAAGCGGACAAATCAGGTATCATTGTCTTTAAATACTTTAGGAGTAAATCAATGGTTTATTAGAAAAAGTGTGTTCAAGTTAAGTATTTGTTATAAACGTAATTGTCTTTTCAGCGGAATTTCCAGCAAAAGAATACGAGTACGATGTTAGACCGAATTTGTTCATAGGCAAGGAACATCTACTGGGAAAAAGCAAATCACACGGTGATAAAACACCTTTCACCTATTCCTCGGGACCATACGGTTTATATCGGTCAACTTTTCCCAATTATGCTGTTAAGATTAAGTAAATATTATTTTAGGACCTTCCCGTTGGCCAAAATTGTATCCAAAGTGCGGAGGTAAACAGCAATCACCAATAAACATCGACATCAGTTCGTTGAAACGTATAAATTTATCCAAGCTGAAATGGAGTCCCCAATTTGAAAAGATCCCCGAAAAGCTAGCCGTTACGAATAACGAACATACAGGTCTTATTTAAACATTCAGTAGAAACGATTACTATTTTTTTTTTGTATTATAGTGACGGTAGAGGTGACTTTTCCGAAGAACGAGAAGGGATTGTTGGAGGGTGGACCTTTGACGAAGCCCTACAAATTCTCGTCTATACATTTCCATTGGAGTTCGTCAGATCATCGAGGTTCTGAACACACGATCGACAAGAAGTCGTTTCCAATGGAGATGCATGTGATATTCTATCGATCGGATCTGAACGCCACTGTCGCCATGAAGACCGACAAAGGTTTAGTGATCATCGGATATATTTTTGAGGTAGACATTGCTTTGGAAACGATTCTAGTCGAGTATGTAGACGTGAATTTTCGCAGATAGGGGACAAATGCAACGATGCTATTGCCACTCTGATGGAGGTCAGCGAGCAACTGAAGCTGGAGCCGGATAACTCCATAGATCTACAGAACGTATTTCGATTGGATTCTCTCTTCGACATGATAGAAAAGGAGTACGTGACCTATATTGGATCGATGACGACACCTCCGTGCTACGAGACGGTCATCTGGATCGTCAGCCCTTACACACTGACTCTCACCAAGAAGCAGATGGAGAAATTCAGGTCGATCTCAGGGTCTTCGAAGGGCTTCGGTGATAATTACCGTGCTATCCAAGCGCTCAACGGAAGGGCCGTGAACTTCGTCAACTAATTTAAATAGCATAATTCTGTTATCCATACATATATTTATATAATTTTAATCGTAATAATAAACGGTTCTACTGTTGATTTTCTGCACGGGCCTAGTGTTTCTCCTCATCGCACCGTCAATCGCCATTAAGCTTCTGAACCGCTGCAACTACGAACAAAATAAACACAACGGAATTAGATCGACTCGCTGCCAAACTTTCAACAATTCGAATTCAATTTATAATGTCACAATTTCAATTTAGTTGTCGTATGAATATTTGGAAGCTCTCTTTGTTTACTTCGAAATGTATTCTTGCACGATGACTTTTAACTAAATATAGAGAGCTAGAGTTTCATTAATTGAAATCACGATGAAATATGTAATTTGATTAAATTAAATTTTGTTAATACACACTTGATTCGAAGATATGCTCAGGGGTTCTGGTTGGATGATCCAATCTACGCCCTCCGTGCACGGGGGACAAGTAATCGAGCCTTGATAGAAGAAGTAGCGAGTGCGAAATGGATGGAACATCCAACACAGTGGAAACGGGTTGAGATGATACGAGCTGTTGGCGCACCGGATGAACGGCAGCACATCAACGATAGGTGCTAAATATGGATTATCCAACGGTGTCACCTTAATGAATTAAACCATTAAAACTTTGTAAAATTTTTACAATAAATCCAAGTACATCGAAGAGGTAACTTATGAAGAGCACGGCTCTATCGCGCACAGCGCAATCCAAATTCTCGTAGATCTGCTCTCCCTTGATGTGCATCAGCTGCAATTCCATGGCGTACCTCTTCGAGTTGATGGTATGCTCTGAACCCTCTTCATCAGTGGGTCCCCATTTGAATTGCGCTACATTGAAGCGATAGCTGGACTTCAATGGTCCACCGCTCACAGTTGGAAACTCATCGGTAAAGCATGTGCCGACAAGAACTTTGAAGAAATTTACCTATTACAATGTATGATTACAAATTCGATTAATAATCACCTCCGTAACCGTCATTCATAATGGTTATGCTTTTGGGCATGTTGAAGTACTGCTGGTTAAACAGCAAAGGTTTCTGAGTACCGCAAGGTACAACCATGCTGCATTCGGGCTTCACGTTAATCGGAGACTGGTTTCTGCCTTTGCTCTTGCAAAATTTGTACCTCCAGATTTCGGGATCTGCAGATTTCAAATAAAACATTAAATTGTTTGTATCTATAACGTTTCAATTTGCATGTACTATCAATTTGGTATCCTCGAAAGAATTCGCCTTCAGCAGGGTCCTTATCCTTTGACCACTTGAAGACCCATCGCGCGAATTCGCCGAAGAAGAGACCCAGGACAATGAGAACGACGACGATCACACAGACAATTTGGAAGGACGGGAAATTCTTTAGATTCACGTTCAGCAACATCTCTTCCGGTTAGCAATCATCGACAGCATCAGGAACGCGCGAAACGAGGGACCACGACGCATCTGCAAACGTCACCGGAATGACGCAGATGCCACAGCAATTATTTCTGCTGGTATAATTGATGTTGCATATCCACAGCTCTCCAGATTATACATGAGACGGATCTGTGGATCATCCAACTTTCCATTTGCATCTCTTGGATCCATTCTATCTATTATAGTCTCTGAGAAACACGAATTACAACCAAATAGATGAAATTGCAGTAATTAATATTCCCCAAATATACAACTTTCATTCGTATCTTTTGTACCCAATAAATTTTGAACGAAAAGAACAAAAGATGTCGCTTCAATAAATAATACTTAATAATACTTTTAATATATCAAAACTCTCTTTAAAATATAAATTAATCATTATTCAATATAAATTTTAAACCTGTAACTATTAGAGAAATAAAAAAATTGCTTTACAAGTGTACTTGACAAATTTGTGTTGAAAGTAATTAAACTTAGCTAAACTTAGAATTTCGCACTGTTACACTTTCATTTATAATCTGCTCGTGACACGGAAACACGGGCGAACTGGAATACAAAAGTTAACAAAAAAAAATAAATCAATAATGGAACAAAGCTGTTGTGCAAAGTTTAATGTAATTGCGAAATTGAGAGTGAGTAATATCTGTCGTAAATTTGATGTTCTGCACAGAGATTAATCGTAATTGAATGAATATTGACTTTGTTAATTGCTGCACTTAAATTGAATTTCGTGTGTTGTATAATTGTCGGTGGAGGCGCGGGGCTGAGAGTAAAAATGGAAATAATAAAATCGAAAATTCCGTTTATGAAATTTTTATTAGTAATAGTATCATCAATTAATTAAGTCCGCACTACGTACCATACGGATCGATTCTGCAGCCCCCCCAAGGTATGAGGGGGTAAATGTAGTGTGCGTGTTTGTATGTGTGCTGCATGTTGAATAAAAGGGAAATAAATAGCGCCGAAATCGTTAGTAACTAGGAGCAAAGCTAGCCACGATGTTCGACGTCTTTCACCGGATCTTTCACATTCTGGTACAAGGATATGTTTTTCTTTCGCTGCTTTAATACTAACTTATTTTTTTGTATGTCTGTTCGCTGTTCCGTTTATTCTATTCTATGCTGCACAATGCTGCGAATCGATGCGGCGGTGACTAATTCGAAATTTCGATCCTCAGGCGAACTTCGCCCGGCTCATCCACTTGCGACTCATCAGAGGGAAAATCAAACGTAAGCACGATAGTCTACGTCTGTGCACTTATCTAAGGATCCACGCAACATTCTTTCATTATCGCATCCGTTGCGTCGCTTATGATGATTATCATCGTCATTTTCAAATTCTTTTCAACGCAAAAAAAAAATAATTCCACAAGTGTTTCTCAGATAGGAAAAATAAATAAATAATTGAAGTGACAAACAACTGTTTCGACAATAACAACAAACAACTGTTCACTTTGC